CAGTTGCATTTTAGAGGAAATCGGATTAAAACAAGTGGTAATCCAACTTATAGTTAAAACATCAAAACTTTTCAACATTTTATGCCATGATTCCCGACGTTAAATTAATAGACAACTGCTTCTTCAATAAAAAATGGAACTCGTAAGTTTGCAAACCTTGGCATTTGTCATATCTGCAAACTTAATTTGAACATTACAAGGCATTCTGATTCTATGCACAAGTGCTCCGAGGTTGATATTAAAAAGATGCTGGAGTTTCTCATTCATAATATTTACACAGCTTTTGGAGGCCAAGTCATCCAACAATCAATTGGATATCCCATGAGTACTAATTGTGCTCCGAAATTAGCAGACCTGTTTTTGTATTCATATAAAGCAGAATTTATTCAAAACCTTTTACACGAAAAGAAGAAAAAATCTCCTGCTGTGACCTTTAATTTAGATATATCGCCGACATTTTCTAATTCAGTTTTATTCCTACGTTGATTCGGTATATCCTATTGAACTCGAAAACAGAGTTGACTACTTGTTTCACATTTGGATATTCCACTAGAGAAAGACATTGATGGAAAAATAACACCTAAACTTTATGATAAACGTGATGACTTCAACTTTCTATAGTCAGTTTCCCTTATTTATATAGCAATATACCATTATCACCTGCATATGGAGTTTATGTCTCCATTGAAAGAGAGCGTTTAGAGACCGTTGGCGATGTAACTTTTTCTGTCTCTTAGCGATCTTTGACAGCATCGAAAAGCCCATCTCTGTGTAAATGTTATAAAGATATCTTAATGTTTTTGTTGCCCGATTAAAATTGAGAGTCATACCATATTTCAGAGCGAGTGCTCAAAGACTCCACTCTGAAGTATCTTCAGAGGTTGATGATTACACTGGTTTCAGTAGCGACCTCTGAGAATTCACTGAGCATATCTTTCCAACCAACTGAGGTCTAAAGATCTACGAAGATTGGTGAGAGTTAAGGCTCGACCAAGACCGATAACTGTAAGAACGAAGGAAACCACTAAAAAACTTGAGGCGCGTTCAAAACATTACGCGTTCTTTGACAGACCTCCGAGAGATCATTTAGAAGTCCAAGAGATCGTATGGCGATCTTTCAGCACTGTCTGGGTGTTTTTGAGAGACTACCAGAAAGACTTTTTACCAATTGCAGGTGTAGAATTCGAATTAACACCTGTTCTCGGCACTTATGGCCAGTGAGTAGAGAGAGACCGGTCTCCACAGTCCGTAGTGGGATTCTAATCCGCAACTAACTACAAGTATTTTGAGTAAATAATGAATTTTTGAAGACCATAGAGACTTTGGAGATCCTAAGACGTCATGAGGATAAATGGACGACTGTTGAAAGATCCTTTTCAACGGTTGCCAAATGTGCGAAAGATTATATGAGGTCCAATTATGCAAATTCCAACAGTTCTATGCCGCTGAAGTAGTCAAAGAGGATATTATCGTCGTGGACATATGTCATGTAGGAACTCGGAGCTAAATGGCTTATCAAACTTCAGACTATTTCAATTCGAAACTACAAATCATCAGAAATGGATTTACTGGAAGTTGTATTTTGAAACGGTCGGCAAGTTAGCCTGTTGACAGACAGAATAAATATTTATTCTGTACTACATTTTTAACTGTCAATTAATTTGTTGATGAAATTCATACATCCTTCAAAATCTCTGTGCATTTTTAGATAATTTTTACTATTGGCGTCGTAATTTCATACATATTATGGATTCTGTAGAGGATTACGCCAGAAGTTGGGTCAGACATGAAAAAGACCTTGATATACTTTGTCAGAATGGATTAAATGTATCAGATACATGTATATATGTTAAAATCTCGCATTAAACGATTGAGGGGCAGTATGAAAACCATCTATCCTTCTGCATTCAATAATTCAGCAGTGAAAAAATAGATAGATTAGATAGATTACACGATCAGTACGTACTGGTCCCTGCTGACAAAGCAGTTAACAACATTGTCTTTGTTTGTAATGCTCATTATATAAATTGTATTTTAGAGGAACTGGGATTTAATTCTACAAGTGGTAATCATACTTATACCCTTAGCCCCCTTTCTAAGGAGGAAATTCTTCAAAATCATGTCAGTTTTGAATATATTTAATATCCCCAACAACCAAAATTAATTTGAATAACCATTTAACTATATTGGATTCCGAAACTTCATAAATATCCTTACAGACAAATATACAACATAAAAACTTCCGACTTTTCAACTTTATGTACAAAAATTCCCCACGATAAATTAAAGTCCAGACTTTCTGACATCGTTGCTTTTTCAAAAAAAAAATGGAAATGGTAAAATTTACATACCTTGTCATTGATCATTTGCAAAATTACATGTACTGTGTTAAAACAATCTGATTGTACACACAAGTACTCAGTACTCTGAAGTTGACATTAAAAACATGTTTCTGATTGACAATATCTATGTGGTTTTTGGAGACCAGGTCTTCCAACAATCTATTGGAATTCCCATGGGTACCAATTGCGCCCCGTTATTAGCAGACCTTTTTTTGTATGCATATGAAACAGAATTTGTTCAAAATGTTTTACGTGAAAAGAAGAAAACACTTGCTGTGGCCTTCAACTCGACATTTAGATATATCGACGACGCATTGTCAATTAACAATGGTTATTTCCATTCTTATGTCGACACTATATATCCCAGTGAGCTTGAGATAAAAGATACCACAGAGTCTGACACATCTGTTTCATACACTATTTGGATATTTTCTTAGAAAAAGACGTTGATGGGAATCTAACAACAAAGCTTTATGATAAACGTGTTGACTTAAACTTTTCAATCGTCAACTTCCCTTACTTATGCAGTAATACCTTCATCACCTGCATATGGGGTTTATATATCTCAGTTATACAATGACCTTGTCAGCAAGTACAATCTTTCATTAAGTCAAATGCTGACTGACTTTTTTCATACTAATCGTTAGGCCATTTTTACACATTGTCGACGGATTTTCCCGTTATTTCCCGATCATGACAAGGAGCACACGGCGGGTGTGACAGGTCGGTAGGGGATGCTCACTCCTCCATGGCACCTGATCCCACCTCTGATGTCTTAGAGGTCCGTGTTTGCTCTGCTCCTATTTTGTAATGTTTAATGGACTTTTGAGCTAGAATACTGTTCGTTATTTCCACATATTTCATTTAAAAATATAATTTCTATATAATTTCTCGTTTTGAAATTGCAAAGAAAGCTAATTTTAACAAACTACTGGGAGAATCGCTAAAATAGACTTCCCAATTAAAAATAACAATTTTTTAAAGAATATTTTCTACAAAAATACGCAGATAAAAAGCGTTATATGGGGTTTATGTCTCTCAGGATATCAACAGTCTCGTTTGAAGTCATCTTTTCGCATTTTTTTCGGTCGATACAATGACCTTGTCAGCACATATACTACCTATGATTGAGTCAAATGCTGATTGACGTTTTTCATACTAATTGTTAGGCCATTATTTATACACTGAACTGTGTACGGATTTTTCCGGTTTTTGTTTCCCAATCATGACAAGGAGCACACGACGGGTGTGACCGGTCGGCAGGGGATGCTCACTCCTCCATGGCACCTGATCTCACCTCTAAATTTTAAGGTCCGTGTTTGCTCTGCTCCAAATTTGTATCGTTTCATTGGACTTTCGAGATTGAAGACTGTTCGTATTCTTCATATTTAATGGTACTGTTCTTGCTACAATTATTTGCCTCTATATAATAAACCCTTGTGTATACCCTGTTGCCAAATCTTTGTATCCGATGGCCGGAATGAATTCAAAATTTATTGTACTGTTGCTTATGTTCCAGATATATATCATCATTTTGGAGTCTAGTCTTATCAATGAAATGTTGAAACTGTGTTATCAATATTTTCCAGGTCTTAACTACCCCATTCCACGCTTTATCATCATGGGGTTTCTCCTCGTCGTTATGTCCTTAGCTTTAAACGGACATGGTCCAATTAAGTTGTATAGTTCCCGAACATCTCAAAGAGTGCTTCTCTTACATGAAAATCATTTGAAACTAAAAGGATGTTTGGAATACGAAAAAACTAATGAGTTTACCGATCGTTGATTACTTTTAGAATTGAAACGCAGTGTCCCTCAAGTTATATTGTTTTTGTCTTTGTATTCTACTTTGATGACGGATGAAAAAGGTGAAGATTACGAACAGTGATTGATCTCAAAAAACCCTCAAACAATAAAAATCTTTAAACATGGCCTAAAACGCGGACCCCTGTAAATTTCAGATCAGGTGCCTAGGAGTAAGCATACCCTGTATGCCGGTCACACCCGCCGTGAACCCCATGTATTTGATCAGGTAGACGGAATAATTCGTTGTTTGTATGTTGTTTAACGTCCCTCGAGAGAATTTTTCACTCATATGGAGACGCCGCCATTTGCAGGTGAAGGGCTGCAAATTTAGGCCTATACTCGGCACTTATGGCCATTGAGGGATTTTTTTTGTGCCAGCACCTACTGCGACACAGGATCTCGGTTTATACGGTCTCATCTGCGACGTAAGGATCAACACTCTAACGTTCTAACCACTGCTCCATGCGGGCGAAAATAATCCGCTGTCAAATTTAGAATAAATGCAAAGGAACAACAATTGATATGAAACGTGTCGGTCAAAATACGACCCACGGGGGGGATCTAAAGCATGGTGAAGAAATATATGGTATCTATTTGTGGTACTGAAATTTACTTGGATGGAAGAATTTGTCAAGTACTGCGAATGAAAGGAATAAAGCAATCCGTCTAGACAGGTTAAATTATTTTAACTCTCCCACCCTTTTATATCTTTTGATAATTTACCATCGTAGCGACAAGCTCTTTTTGGTAAAAGGTTTACAAAACCAGATAAAGTTTCAAAATCTAGAACGCAAAACAATACCAAGAAAAATTGTTCATTGTATTTTATTTTAAATATTCATCATAGAAATATTACAACGGAAAACATTCTTTATCAATTTTTCTCCTGTGAATCTCAGGGACCTGTGTTATATTGTATTTAGTAAATAGCTCAGCACAGGACGTTTTTCCCGCTGCGTAATGAAGTCGTCTGAACGTTCTCACCAAGAGATTGTGGTTATAGTCCTTGTCTCTGTGTTTATGACCCTCGTAGTTTCCTCGGTATGTCGTTTGATGGACAGCCAGTAGCGTCTCTGTTGCATCAATCACATTCCCGCGCTTTCTAGCGTCCAGCACGAGCCAATTGTCGTAGGCTCGTCTGCCTATAATAACTTCTGGGATGTTTTTCCAAGGGTAGTTTTTCATTGTTATAAAATAGTCCTCACCCCAGACACTGAATAAGGAGCCTCGGGATTCAGCTATTTTATGTATCGTTGATTGATTCACAGCATCACTGGATGTCACATTTTCGACGTTTGTTCGCCGACCTATAACCATCAACGGTTGTGATTTGTTTACACTAGAATTTAACAGAGCCATTAAAGTTATGATTAGCGTATCTGTAAAAAGAATATCACCGTTGGCATAGGCGTAAAAAATGGATTTGGAAACTTTTACAACATCCAAATACATATTTTTGAGGACAGGTACCCCTTTACCTGTCTTTGAAACGGGTAAGACCTTCCAACCCATTTCTGCCACTCTGACCGACAAATCCTCCTCGTCAGAAAAAAGTATTGGCTGAACAAATGGTTTCAACTGATTCCAGTTCCTAATTGTATTGTTATGACATACGTATTTTTCAACCGTTGTCTGCCATGTTGTAAACAATGTAAGCAAGGTTTTGTTTGCTTTTATTATATTGCGTGATAATTTTTCTATGTAAGTTAGATTGTTTCTATAATTACTGAAATTAAATTCTGACGGAAACACAACTCTAGGAACAAAAGTTTCTGCATAATTTCTAGTGATATTCCTTTCACGTTCTGTGAGTTCCACATTTTTAATTAATCCCGCCGTTCTGATTAAATTCCACCAATGTCGGATCTCTTTTCCCCAGAATATGAAGTAATCAAAGACCCCCTTCATTAATTCCTGGATGGCTAATGCTTGTCGACTGACCTCAGAGTATAAGTAAACGTAGACAAAGGTGCAAACGAAGCATAATGCTAAAATTTTAAAATGAACTGCTTTTCCAACAAACCTTCCAGGGGTTCGGACATTGGGATATCCTGGGGTCATGTCAGAGGATCCTAATAAATACCTGAAAAAAATATCCAGATGGCATTTTAGTATTCATAATTCCAAACCTTTGATTAATATTATATTATTCGAGTCTTGTGATTTATATGCTATAATCTTGTGATTTGCAAGCGAAAAATTGATATTCCTTATACAAAAACATATTTATGCAAAAACTTGTGATTCATATTCAACAATCTTGCAATAAATGTGCGATCAAATTGTGATTTGTATGTGAAATCTTGTGAATTGCATTCTAAACACCTGGATCACTATTGACCTGCTGTTCTTCATCCCATTATTTGCATATATTCCTGTGTAAAACTTAATCACATATTGTGGCCCCAACCTCCCCCAATGTTTTGAACAAACTTGAATCTTCACTACCTGACAATGCTTCCGTATAAATATGACCAATCATGGTTTTGCTGTTTTTGAGAGGATTTGTAAAGATTTCCCTATTGTAGTTATAGGTATAACTCTGATCGCCCATTGTGGCCCCACACTACCCTTGCGGATCATGATTTGAATAAATTGAAGAAGCACAGTTTAATGAAGCTTTCACATAATTTCATCTTTTCTGGCCCAGTGGTACTTGAGAAGATTTTTAAAAGATGTCATTAAATTTTCACTAATTCTTAATTATCTCTCCTTGAAAGAGGGTGTGCCCCTTTATTTGAACAATCTTGAATTCCCTACTCCGAAAGATGCCTTGTAGCAAGTTTGGTTCGAATTGGCCCATTGGTTCTTGATAAGAAATAAAAACTGTTGAAGGTTTACAAACGGGCGGACAGACGGACGCCAGAGTATGATCAGGCTTTGAAATTATTTATTGGGAACAGACTTAAGGCATTCTTTGATTTTGAATATCTTTTTTATTTCACTTATGTGTTTAAGACTTTGCAGCTTTTTGTAATATTCATATTCGATCACATGATGAAAATTTTGATTGATTATCAAGATTCTTAAAAGAGTTATGTCAATTTGAAATTTTGACTTAAGTCTTTTCTCAGTTTATGGTCTCGAGGCCAGAAAAGCTCACTTGAGCTTTAAGCGCAGGTGAGCTATTGTGTTTCCTTTATACTGTTAGAGTAATTTAGGGAATTTACTAATTTAAAAGGCTACTTTTGTTTTATTATGATTTGCAACGATTTATGAAAAACAAATATAATATAGTTTAATATAAAGTAAATTGTCATTCAAGGCATCGTTACGTTTTACCAATTATTACAGAATACTACTATTATGAATTATAGGAGTTGAAGTATATATATTTTTTTTTTTCAGAAACATCAAGTCAAACACTGTCTTCCCTATTGTGAAGTCAACACTATTGTTTACAGATTATTTCCATCGAAAGAAACATCAAGTCGATATGAATCTTTAAATGGTTAAATGGTTTAAATGGTTTGCTGTTATATACTTGATCATGTGATCAAGTTTAAGCCAATCAGATGAATAAATGAGAAAAGTAATATTCCATGTTAAATATATAAAAAGGTACATGATGCATACCTACTAAAAATACGCATTTCTGTTTAATATTTTTGAAAGTAAATTATCATAGAAAAAGTATTCACATACCAGGTAAAGACCCTGTTCTTCTTTCTTCATGGTATATTTCGGAGTGGCGAGCAGTTCAGCACCCACGTGAACTTGAGAAAATTGAAGCGATAATTACCCCATTTGCATTATCACCTCCGAATGATTCGATAATCATCATACATGAATCTTAACTACCCATATTTATACATGAAATAATGATATATAAAAACTGACTGTGTAAAATAGGTTTGTTATTCCTTTATGTTACTATGACCACATATGTTGCACTGCTTATCCAAACTGGAAAAATTTCTGATGAAAATTTATGCAAATAAAAATAATTGTTTGAATATGATTTCAAGAAAATGGACGCAATTTCTGACGTGTTGAATGCTTTCGTTTCAATTCATTCAAGAAAATGTTTTGTGTGCATCCAGAATGGGCGGCTTCCAATAATTGGTCCTTACTACATTATATATTAGCTTCTTCCCATAGTAGCTCCCAGAAAACTGACAATATTATAGTATCCCCACTCCTGGGGAGGGGGGGGGGTTGTACTCCCTCTTATTTAGAGAAATCAGAAAAACAAATTGATATTCGGAAAGGTAGGGTCTAACAATATGTTCAGCCATACGCTCGTCTCCAACGTCGGGGATAAAGATGTCATTTTTTCTGCATGCCTTTTACATATACGCCTATATGAATGACATAATCTTTTATATATACATATATGCATATAAAAGTCTTTAAAATATAGGGTATGTTTCCAGGTAACAATTAATTGCAATATCAAGTTTTCTTGCCTCCCATTTTTGTTAAGTTTAGATTACCTTTCTATCAGCAAGATACTTTGGGAAGACCTATACTAACCAGGGAAAAAACTACTGTGACTGTGTGTGTGTGTGTGGGGGGGGGGGGGATTGGGTAGGGGAAAACACTATATAGATATACTTGCAGCACCGGTGTAACCGTGATTTCTGTCGCTAGTGCTCAGGGTCGCTCTTAATAGAATATATAGGGAAAAGAGCGACTCAAATCACTGGCCTCTGCGCATGCCTGGGGATTTTAGTCGCTTCAAATCAAAGCGGTGCTCTACTGGTTTTAAATCCACGGTAATATTATCCGCAGTCTTCGCTTTTAGTGTTCTATTTATTTAGTTTAATCCTAAAAGTATGCAAAACAATTATATATGTTATTTAAAACTTAATATTGAATTTTCTTCGTATAGGATTATTAAATGATGTTTTAGATTTCTAAAATCTATTTATTTTCTAAAAAGGAAATAAACGCCACCAAATTTGATTAAAAATTTTGTAAATTGAATATATATTTAAATAGAAAAGAAGGGGGGAAACATGCTACGGTCAACAATCTCTCAGTCATTTGTTTCAACAGGTGTGAACCATGCCCAGGGCGTTATCTTAGACAGGTGTCAACAATTACCTGTATGTTAATAACTCACAAACACAGCTCCCCGTGGTCAAAGGTGTGAAGTGTGTTTTTATAACCACTTCATTATATACACTTGTATTTTGTCTTCAATGAACCATAAATACCTGTATTTCACCAGAATATAAAGTAATAATTCTTATCTCATTTCGACCTATTTTTTATTTAACAGATAAATTAAATAACGGGAAAATAATTCTGAACAAATAAATAATGACGACATAATAATTTTAAATACGTTTAGGGTGGTTGGCCACTTGTCCGGCGAAATGATAAGAAAAAGTGAAAAAAAAAAATGGATGTGGTTTTAATTTTATGTAGCTGATATAAATTTTGAGTTTAATAAATCTGAATATGAAGAATTCAAGAAACATTATCTTAAACAAATCAAGAGCGTCGGTGATTCCAGTCGCTCTTCAAAATTACGGTTTCATGTTCAATTGTTTATACGAGCCGACCAGTATGCCTTCTGTTACAACATTAAATGCAGTTTTGATTTAAAGTAGATTATCTGAGTGTAGTTCAATATTTCTAGGGAAAAAATCGGAAAACGTTATTTTAAATTTATTTAGTTATTCGGTCGCTCTTCAAAAGGGGGTTTCATAACCTACCAGAATTATATTTCCATCTCTAACAACTTAATTTTTCATATATATTACATGTACAACATAAAATTTCGTAAATTATCTCAATTTACTTATTATGACAATCATATATTGTATTCACTGTTTGTATAATAAGGAGAGGATTTATTAAGTTGAAAGAACTTGTATCCAATCCTTTTGTATGTATTATTACAATAAAATATGTTCAAATCAAATCAACAACTTAAAAAATTGGATGCAGTTATGACAAAGAGAAGATGATAAAAGGTAAGTTTAATAATTCTAGAGAAAAAATTCGAATACTACATGTAAATTATTATTAATAAATTATGAGCATCGGTGATTTCTGTCGCTCGTCAGAAATCCATCAAAAGCTACTAGTTCACGGTCTGTACCAACTGAAGGAAATTAAAATGGATGCAGGTTTAGCTTCAAAAAGAAAATTGAAGTGTAGTTTAATAATTCTACATGAAAATATTAGGGAAAATAATTATTTTGAATTACATGTAGTTATGAGCATCAGTGATTTGAGTCGCTCTTCAAAATGGCGATTTCAGAATTTATCAAGACTGACTTATTTAACGTCTGTAAAAAAAAATAAAAAGTGGAATTTGATGCCGGTTTCATTTGAAATAGATAATCTAAATGTAGTTTAATAATTCTACATGAAAATATTTGGGAAAATAATTATTTTGAATTAGTTATGAGCATCAGTGATTTGAGTCGCTCTTCAAAATGGCGATTTCAGAATTTATCAGAACTAACATATTTATCGCCTGTAAAACCAGTTAAAGGTACAATTTGATGCCGGTTTCATTTGAAATAGATAATCTAAGTGTAGTTTAATAATTCTACATGAAAATATTTGGGAAAATAATTATTTTGAATTAGTTATGAGCATCAGTGATTTGAGTCGCTCTTCAAAATGGCGATTTCAGAATTTATCAAGACTGACTTATTTAACGTCTGTAAAACCAGTTAAAGGTACAATTTGATGCCGGTTTCATTTGAAATAGATAATTTAAGTGTAGTTTAATAATTCTACATGAAAATATTCGGGAAAATAATTATTTTGAATTAGTTATGAGCATCAGTGATTTGAGTCGCTCTTCAAAATGGCGATTTTAGAATTTATCAAGACTGACTTATTTAACGTCTGTAAAACCAGTAAAAAGTGGAATTTGATGCCGGTTTCATTTGAAATAGATAATCTAAGTGTAGTTTAACAATTCTACATGAAAATATTTGGGAAAATAATTATTTTGAATTAGTTATGAGCATCAGTGATTTGAGTCGCTCTTCAAAATGGCGATTTCAGAATTTATCAGAACTAACATATTTATCGCCTGTAAAACCAGTTAAAGGTACAATTTGATGCCGGTTTCATTTGAAATAGATAAT